TGAACATTTCTTCGGTCATGTCAATTTTATATACCATATGACTCCATCTCTTTTCCCTTCTCTGTGCCACTTCTGGTTTCTGGTGTGTTATTGTTTATTAACCATTAAGCAATGGCTTTATGTCTTCTTTTGAATTCGTGGTGATGTTTTTGAAATCTTAAACACAGTTTACAATGATAAAGACTTTGTGTTTTTGATGAGGTAGTAGACTGTTTTTGATGAGGTAGCAGAAACGATTAGCCAATCCTGAGGGCACTCATATGATAGGTTTAGAGTACTAAGCATACTTCCCAATTAGTCTATGTACGAATTTAACAGAGGACAGTGGAATTACCTTAATGGTTGTCTTCGTTAACAGATATCAATGGTGAAGTCCCAGGATCAAAATCATTTACAACGAGGCTACACACAGCACTCAACGCCTTATGGCTACCATTAAGCTTGCCAGGTATTTCACAAATCACCTTATTCTTTGAGTGTTTACGTTTAACAAATATAAGGCTCAGTAGCTCACTATTTTCTCACACGATGATTGTGAGAAATAATTGCTAAGCTCTGGTGTTGAACCAAAGGTTGTAGTTAACCAATATTAATCCAATGTTAGTTGGAGGCAACTAACTTCTCTCAGTTAGTCCTCATATTGTTAAGCTCTTCCACTCATACTGCTGCTACGTTCAAAACCTTTGTGGCAATATAGTCATCGAATAAGCTCACACCTGTTTGTAGCTGTGTCCAATGCTGTCTCAATCAAATATACAACTGCTACAAAATTGCTTGATCATTTAAGAGGAGAGAAACATGTAATGGAATTTATTTCTATTCTTTACTATTGTTGAGAAAAAAGTATTACATAACCATCTTTTTATTTACTTTTCAATCAACAAGTGAATATGATTGATATGGTTATTTCAGATTCTACAAAAGTCTGCTAAATTGTTAACTTGCCCCAGCTAAAAGATACGCAGCATAAAGATTCAATGATTTAAGATGTTTTATATTTTCGTCATCTCATTACTAGGTCGGCTGTTCTCAACGCAACTGCGGGCACTCATTTCTTTGACGACGACTGTGGAGCTAGCATGGCAACAGCTACCTGAAAAAGTATGCTACAGCTCTATTAGTATGTTCATAAGATGCTTATTGTTTACTGCAACTGCTTACGAAACCACATATTGTTTGTATGCTAGGGTCCGTGGCAGTGACGAGGGATCATATTCAGCTCCAACAAAGTATGTTGGTGTTATAAAGATTGTATCAATTCTACTGTCTGAACTCAATACCCATGTCCTCACTGCATCACCAGAGGTAAATATCATGTCTCATTGTCACATCTTTTAAGTAATTTCTCAATATAATTTAACCATTTTAATGTTGGCCACAAGCAGGCAGCAGAGCTCCTTTTCACATCTGTTGACAATGGATTGAGCCGGTAAATGGGTGGTGCTCTAGTTCATGCTCGAAATGCTATTGAAAGCTCCAACGTGGATTCTCAGCTTTCACATACCATGCATTTCAAGATGACAATGCACTGGATATTGTAAGGTAATTTAGTAGATTACAAATTGTGATACAACAAATCCAAAACTATATGTAGTCCTCACATTCATCATCCGTAACCTTATATTTGGCTTTTTGATGGCTGGGTTTGTAACTTTTGACAGTGAAATGACCAAGCTTACAAATGCCAGGGCAGAAGACATATGGTTTGCTTTACAATTTTGTTTGTTTGTTTCTCACATTAAACCCAATTTCTTCCTATAAAGATTGATTAAACTCAATTTATTCCTCTATAACTTTCGACATTGCCTATAAAAAAAGCTTAAATGGTCCAAATGTTCAAAGCAAAAAAATTAAGTAAATAGAACTGGTGAATATACACACGTTCTAGGATTTAGTTTAATATAATAAGCTAAATAAGGTTATATGAATCCCACTCAACAACAAGTTCTTATATTTTGTCGTCCATCTACGGTTCGTACATTCGAGGGCCAACTGAAAAACTATTTTTGTTTATGTACATACAAACAAACTTTCTTTTTAAAGTAAATGTAACATATCAAAAAGTACTTAATTTATTAGAAACTAGAACTAATCTTTAATATTTTATTGTTTCAAAATCCATTTTATTATCTTTTGTAGACAATTATACACAATGAGGAAAATGATTAGTTTATATTTATAATGACTGGGTATTAGATCTAAAGAAACTGAATATTATAGGACATAAAAGATATTCACAAATATTTGTTTATTACTATTTCAACCAGTTATTTAAATACATAAGTTGGTAACAAAATATAGACTATTATGCAAGTTGAGTCAAAAATCTCAACCCTTGAAAGTTTATATACTAAATTATCATTTCCTTTTAAACAAAAAAAAATATTCATTTTTTCAAGCTGAAAGGACTATCTTTTCTTTAATGTATAATTATGGTGGTTATACAAATTTTTGTGTCTTAGTTATAAAGTTATATTTTGATCTATTCCATGCATACAATTTGGTTCATATTGCATAGTCTTTTGGAAACTTGAAAAGCAAAAAAAATTAAGATGGCAATTAGTTTCTTTTTTAAAATGGTTAAACAATAAATAACAACTTCAGTTAAATATATATATACGGTTTTTTGACATAAGTTCATAAAAAAATATGTCTAATAAGAAAATTTTGTTGTTTGTTATTAAAAGCGATGCTTTGTGAAAAGAAATGTTTTAAAAACCGAAACCGGCTGGTTGTATCATGACTCTCTCTCTTCTAAACAATTTTTAGTTGTGCTAAAAACCAACAAATATGGTTTAAAAACCGGTTACTCTCTAAAACCGATTGTCCAGTATGATATTAAACTCTGATTTTTAAAAAATGAAAGTAAAAAATGCAAATTTTTTTAAAAAATTATAAAACCATGTATTGTTTTTAATATCTATTTAAATAAACTATTTTCATTATATTTTATATTCTTTTTGAAGTTTTCATTTTATTTCTTTATCATTTTAGCTTCAAACAATGATAAAAAATCTAAAAAATATAGTTATACATATATATAGATACCTAACTTAACATTAAATTAAATTTACAAACCAGTTGGACTGGTGTGACCATTGACCTAACTGGAATGACAAGTTAATTTTCGGTTTGGTATTCAAAACATTGATGGCTAGGATAAATTAATATCATCCAGTTTATAAATAAATAGAATAAATAAAAATTATTCATAACAACAAAATATATAAATTCTTAAATTTATATAATATCATTTTAAATTTAAATAAAAGTCAATTCATTTTATAGACTTAATTTTCAGATTTTGATAGTAATTAATTTCTACCAACATTTTGAAGATACAAAATATAAACTACAGATTAAAATATTACACTAATTATTATGTAAGTTATTTATACGAAACATAAAATGAGGGTTTTGTTAAAAAAATTAGAAAATCTATATTTTGTAAAAACAATTGTTCATTATTAGTATTTTTTTTATGAAACTCTTGCTTGCATTAACTATAATGATTTTGTCAATCCTTATCGTTTTCTATTTATTCTATTGCTTCTGGTTTTAGTTATAAGTTTAGTTATACAATATATTATATATATAAATAATATGATTATTAATTTTGTTTAAGAAACAAGCCGCACGTAGTGCGGTCAAAAGATCTAGTGTAAATAATTTGAAAAAGAAGGACAAAATTTTAGAAGGGAAAAAATGTTGTTTAAATCAAATTTCAAATTTGGTTGAAATAAAACACCAACTTTCTCATAAGCCAATAAAAGATTCCACTTTTGTTGACATGTCATTTTAATCACAAACTTTCATCGATCATACCATTTTAGTCATATCATTAGTCAACAGTTATAGTTGACTAACGGTAGGCCTAAAATGGTTTTTAAAGTTGATGATTATTTTAGAACAAATATAAATCAATATTTTTCTAAAATATTGGATATATTTTAAATATTGAAAATACTTTTAATAACTATAACACTAATAAATAAAATAATAAATAAATAAAATAATTCCAACCAAAAATATAAACAGAACTCAATGTAAAATAATTAGTTAACATATCATTAATTTAGTATCATAGTTATAAAATGATTATGAAGTTTTTTTTATTATATACAATTATTTTTTTTGAATATTTATATAATCCTAATTGGATTATGTTTTCTAATTTTATTTTCAAAAATTTACTAGTGAAATATTAATTAACTCTTGATTCTTAAATGAAAAAGTTATAGGTTGATGGATTCTTCATGATTCTTTATATTTATAATAATAATAAAGATCTTCAAACTAATCTATATACTTTCTACATCAAGAGTTATCGGTTAATGGATTCCTACATCAAGAATTTCCATTTTGGATGTGAGAACATTTTGGATTTCAAACTTTTTGATGAAATTTATTTTTCCTTAAATGCAAATAAACTCTGGTAAGAATCAAGAGTGGAATTAATATTTCACTAAAAAAAATTTTAAAATAAAAATAGAAAACGTAATCTAATTAGGATTATATAAATATTTTAAAAGTTAATTGTAAATAATTAAAAAAAACTTCATAATCATTTTATAATTATGATACTCAATTAATGATATGTTAACTAATTATTTTACATTGAATTCTGTTTATATTTTTGGTTCAAAATTTTTGTTATTTATAATTTTATTTATTATTGTTATAGTTATTAAAAATATTTTTTCAATATTTATAATATAGTTAATATTTTAGAAAAATGTTGTTTATATTTGTGCCAAAAAACCATCAATTTTAGAAGTCATATTAAAACTAGCGTTAATTAACTATAACTATTAATTAACCATATGATTAAATGATATGATCGACGAAAATTAATGATAAAATCGACAAAAATTGAATATATTTTTTGTCTTATGAAAAATTAGTGTTTTATTTAAACTAAATTTGAAAGTTGATATTTATCCCATTTTAGAAAACAAGAACCGCAGTTTTATACTCTTTCTCTCTCTCTAGTGCTTGAATCTCGTGTTACCACTTTGCGATAGATTCCACCAAACCCCACTTCAATGGCGGATCCTTCTCCTCAAAGCCCTAACCTTTCCACTTCGCCACCTACCCCTCAATCAACAACCTCGGAATCTCCTCCTCCACCGACTCGCTCCTTCTTCTTCCCCTTTCTCAAGTCTCCCTACAGACCAAAGCTCCGCGTGACATCTGAATTCGACAGCGAAAGTCTCCTCTTCTTGAACAAAGTGTCTTGTAAGCTTTTCGACAACCTCGCCAAGCTCAAGCTATCGTTTCAGAACAACTCCCAGCGCGAGGTTACTCAGCCTCAGGTGTCTCTCACTTCCAAGTACCTCTCTGTTCTCTATGATGTTGAGGAGAAGAACACTTTCATCAAGAGCACTGTCGACGTTTCCCCTCGCCTTCAGCTCCGTGCTCTTCATAATGTCAATGTAATAAAGATTGAATTTTTCCTCTGTTTCTTGCACACTATCATTGGTTTTTGTCGAATTGAGAGTAGATAAGGAAGAAAAAACAATACTTTTGAGCTAAATTAGTTAAGGACCAGAGCAGGTTGTGTGAGAGAGCAGATAAGGAACTAAGGAAGAAAGAACGATACTTTTGAGCTAAACTAGTTATAGAACAGAACTGGTTTTGTGCTTGAGAACGTTCATTGTTTCTGAGTGGGGTGAACTATCTGTTAGAACGTCTCTGAGCTGTTCAAACAACTAACTATCGTTAGCTACTGAAACATAGCGCTGTGTACGCTTGTAGGCTTGTTATGTTCAGTTCTTGATTATGTTGGTTGTTATGTAATTGATGGTAGGTCGTTTAACTGTATGATGTTTTTGCAGGCACAACAAGGAGAGGTTGCTATGGAGGCAAATCTGGCTGAACCTGGCTACTCTCTCGAGCTTTCATCGCCTGTTCCTATTGGCTACGTGAGTACCAATCTCTTACATTATCAATTTGGTTGCGAGTACTTTGCAACTTGTTACGCTTTTGTGTAATTCCTGGCGTTTTTTTTTTCTTCTTGCAGCCAAGAGCGACTCTTAAATTCCCACTAGGTGAAGTTTCGTTACAAGAGAGAGAAGAGGAGGAGGAAGAGGAGAATAGCAAGAGAATGTTATCTGTTAACGGGATCCTCAAACGTCAAGTTATGGATGGTGTTTGTTCCGCTCTATATACAGATGAAGAGTTGAGGCTAAGATATGCTTATAAGGTTTGGGCTTCTATATATATAGACTTTTCTTCTCTGCTTTTTTTGTTTTAGTATGTAATGACTTGTAGAAGGTACACATGTAAAGAGAATATCCTTACTTAAACTATCTTTTGGATGTGACATCAAGGCTTTACTTGTTTGTGTTTTATACAGGACGAAGCATTGTCTTTCATCCCAACAATCTCCCTTCCTTCCAATGCTGCTTCGTTTGCATTCAAGCGCCGGTTTAGCCCTTCAGATAAGTTGAGGTTAGTGGCCTATTTGTAGAACCATCTTTATCTGCTGACTTTGTGGAAGTATATAATATCATGATGATGCCTTGCTATGCAGCTACTGGTACAAGTTTGATTCAAACATGTGGAGTGCTGTTTACAAACGCACATATGGCAAAGACTACAAGTTCAAAGCTGGCTATGACTCTGAAGTACGCCTTGGCTGGGCATCTCTCTGGGTAAAGCACCAAACTTTAGTTTTGTCTCCTCTCTTATTATTATCTGTGTAACCCTTTTTCACTCTTTTCTTAATCCCCATATGAGTATGAAGTATATAGCATATAGAACATTCACTACAACACAATTCTAGCATATATGTAACATAGCACCTGAGGATCAGACTGTGTTAAAATTGGAGTGATATTGTACCTAAGGACGCTACCCTTGTTTGTTCTTGAGCAAAGCCTCTTTTGAGTGTTGTGTTTGGTTATTGCAACAGGTCGGGGATGAAACTGGGAAAGTGAAAACGAGGCCAATGAAGATGAAAGTGCAGTTGATGCTTCAAGTTCCACAAGATGACATCAAAACCTCAGTCTTGATGTTCCGAGTCAAGAAAAGATGGGACATTTGAATGGAAAAACCTCTTTTTACACTTTTGCATAATCTCTCTGTTGTAATACTGTAAAACACACTACTATAATAAAAGATTATAGGAAACCTTCTTTTGATTTGCAAATTGTCTTTCAAGTTTTTTCTTGGAACAGATAAACATGTATTATTACACGTGCGAGCAACGGTAAACGTGTGAGATTACATGTAATAAAGAAAAAAAGTTACATGGCTTTTCACTAACCGCTGTTTCATTGGACTATAACAGCTGTAACAACAAACAGAATATTCTTTCAAATTAAAAGTTTTGATTTTTATTTATTGTTGTGTGTTGCGAAGCATCATCCAATCGAAGAGAAGACGAAGAAGTGTTGTTGAAAGAGAGATGAGTTCGTCTACACCTCTGAGACTCCTTCTCCCTCTTACACCTTCTTCATTGCTTTCTCTTTCACCGCTCAGATCGCTAAACCCTAATTTCAATTGCCGCTCCTCTTCTTCTACTACTACATCGTGTTCTTCTTCCCAGTGTCAGCTTTTTTCTAGTCGGAGACAGCGTCGATTCAGATGTCTTCCCATGGTAATCGTCGATTTTCCTGCTGAATTCTCTTTCACTTAATGTGATAAATTAATTACTAGGATCAGACATTGTTTTTTATCAACTTTCTTTCCAGGCAGATTGTGTTAAGACTGATCCATGTTTTGTACTCATTATCGATATATAAGTGTTAGTCTTTTGTATTATTATTCTCATCTTAAATGTTAGTAGTAGAAGTAGTTAGGTGTGTCAGCTCCAATTTTAATAGCTTTTGCTGACTTTCTTTCATTCATACATGTCAGTTTCTGTTTAAAGAAAGTGTGTATCAGTTCTACTGTATCTGTATCTGTATCTGTATCTTTTTAAGCCGTTTTAGTGTTCATTCTAAGACTACATTCTATCTTACCACTGTCTTGTCATGATGCAAGAGTTTGTTGTAGGAGGGTCAATTCTTAACTCAAGACACATCATATCTAATAGTATCACAGTTGCTTGGCCTTGAAAGGCATGTTCTTCTTCGAACATCAGTTTTTTTTTAAAAAATGTGACCTTTGTGATTGTCTCTCTGGATTTGTTAGTTTTTCAGCTTTTGGAATACTGATTTCATTACTCTTGAGGAATTTCAGTGTTATAAAGCTTTAGATGTGAGACCTTGAGAATTTTATTTAAATGTGTACAGTGCTTTCCCAACGGCCAAGACAACGCAGATGATCTTGTTACATGTGGGCTTGAATCAGATGAAGATTCCGGGCTCCGGATTCCAACTCAGGCTCAGGCTATCGTTGAAGGTTCTGGTTCAGTTGCTGTCTCGGAGCTTAAACCCGCCGCTGATGTAGATTACATACAAGTAAAACTACTACTTTCACCTTGAAATTCACACCTTACGGAAGTTGTGCTCTTATAATCAGTCTTTGAGCTCTAGATGTAACCGTGTATGTTAAAAATCAACAGGAGCTATTGGCGATACAGCAACAAGGGCCTAGATCAATTGGCTTCTTTGGTACAAGGAACATGGGTTTCATGCATCAAGAACTCATCGAGATACTTAGCTACGCCATGGTTATTACAGTAAGGCATCTGAGCTTTCATCTTATCTGGTTGGCTGGCTCCTAAAACGTCTCTCTCAGATCATTTCTGGTTCTCGCAGAAAAACCATATATACACTTCAGGTGCATCTGGAACTAACGCGGCTGTTATCAGAGGTGCATTGCGAGCAGAGAGACCAGAGCTTCTTACAGTGATTTTACCTCAAAGTTTGAAAAAACAACCTCCTGAGAGCCAAGAACTCTTGTCTAAAGTAAGCATCTTGTTGGATTCTTTGTATCTTCCAACATACAATCTGAAAACTCTTCTCTATTGCTAATGTCACTCAACAGGTACAAAACGTTGTAGAAAAGCCACATAAAGATCACTTGCCATTACTAGAAGCCAGCAGGTTGGTCGGTGACTGAAGAAGATGGTTACTAACTTTTTCCAACTTTACTATACAGAGAATGAAACTTTAGTTATTGCGTTGTTGTTTTTGTGCTGCAGGCTGTGTAATATGGACATCATATCACAAGTACAACAAGTAATATGCTTCGCGTTTCATGACAGTAAGCTTCTCATGGAGACATGTCAAGAAGCTAAAAATCTCCGCAAGATCGTCACTCTCTTCTACCTCGATTGATTCCACTATCTTCTTAATGGAACAGAGCAGATGCAAGTCTAGTTAGTTGTAAATTGTGAATCTCATAAAAAAAAACATATGATTCATTCTTTTGTCTAAATTATGATTTTTATATGTTCTTTTTTTTTCTCAAGCTAGTTTGTAACATCCCATCGGTTATAAAACTGTTTCTATGCATCTCAAGATATTTTAGCTTATTTAATTAATTAAAAAAAAATCAAGAAGATGATTGTTAACAAGCTCTCTAACCCCCCAGAAGACCTAGAAACTTTAGTTTCGTAACCGTGACAGCGACCTCTGTCTTATCTACAAGGTTTCACTTCCATATCTACGTCATTTATCTTTTAACTAGCTTCTTAACACGCCAGTTACTTGGTCTTGCGTTTCATAGAACCTTGATGGGAAACTCCGGTAAAGCTCCGGCGATGGAAACGCCGAGTGATATCTTCCAACGGTTGGTGAACGAAGATTCTACTGGTAATGAACTCTAATCTTCTCTAAATCTAATAATAATTGATCTTCTTCTTCTTCTTATTCCCTGAAGCAATCTTGATGTGTATTGGTTTATAAGGTGGTTGGGAGAAGACCTGGAAAGCAGGAGCAACTCCATGGGACTTGGGAAAACCAACGCCTATCATTAAGCATCTCGCTGAGACTGGTTCATTGCCTAAAGGCAGAGCTCTTGTTCCTGGTTGTGGAACCGTATGTTCTTGCACTTTTTGTCTCTTTGCTATAAAATGTCAACACTTGAAGTTGAAATCAAATTGCCTTAAGCTTCTTTGTTTCGAGTAATAGTGAATGACTTACTTTGTGCGGATCTGAGATTTTTGGGCTATAGACATTTTCTCTAAGAACTTCAATATTAAAATTTTTTTATAAGGACACACCATTTCTTGGCTATCTTGTGTTGTAAGTCTACCTTGTGTGATCTGTTCTTGCATTACTTGCTGATTTTCTTATTCATCACTTAGTAATTACTCTTTCATCATTTTAAACAAACAATGAAACATGTTTTTTCTTTGTTTGCAGGGTTATGATGTGGTAGCAATGGCCTGTCCTGATCGTTATGTTATTGGATTAGATATATCTAAAACTGTGGTTGAGCAATCATCAAAGGTTGTGAACAGTTTTCTCGATTTTTGAGTCTTTCCTTTACATCCCTTATTAGCACTTTAGGTGTTGCATATAGAGGATCTAACACGTTTTGTTTAATCTCAAATGTAGAGGTTTTCCTCTCTGCCTAATGCAAAGTACTTCTCTTTCTTGTGTGAAGACTTCTTCACTTGGGAGCCAGCTGAAAAATTCGATCTCATTTTCGACTATACGTATGTGTTGTTTAATCTTAATCTCGGTATCTGGTTTAATACAATATAAAGAACTTTAGCTTATATATAACTGCGAGGACAAAAAAAAAAAAAAAAGAAGCTTATATATAACTGCACTGAATGACCATTGTTGCAGTTTCTTCTGTGCTTTTGAAGCTAGCGTGAGATCTCTATGGGCACAGCGAGTAGAGAAACTTCTGAAACCAAGTGGAGAGCTTATAACATTGATGTTTCCTGTAAGCATTATTCTATCTCTATTCTCTTTGATACGTTTCCTCACGCTGAAACCTGAAAAAAACATTGATGTTTTTGCAGCTCGATGAGCGTTCTGGAGGTCCTCCTTACAAAGTATCTGTGTCTGAGTAATGTGTTGTTTTCCTGTTATCTCTTTTACTAACAGTAGCAACATCACTGAACCATTGTTTGTAGCAAGATCTTCACTCTGTGGCCTTTAAAATGTTGCAGTTACGAGAAGGTTCTTATTCCCTTGGGGTTTGAGGCAATCTCCATTGTGGATAACGAACTTGCTATAAGACCACGCAAGGTAAAGTATCAACAATATTTTTTTTAATAAGCCTTAAAGATAGTTGGATGGAGAGTTGTAAAATCAGGTTTAGTATTATTGATCAGGAAGATAATGTTAACCTTTGGAATCAATGTTCAGGGAGTGGAGAAGATTGGAAGATGGAAGAAGAAATCTCCAACGTTTCCCTCAAACTTGTGAATTGCGATGATACTTTATTGATTATTAAGAAGCTTTATTCTTCAGATCTGGATGTTTATGTGATACTTTCACTGGTAAACTAAATGTGTTAAGGACCCCGGTACTCGCAGCGCAACCGGAAATCTCCCCCCGAGAAGCAGTAAAGGAGCTTCGGATTTTCGGCCCCCGCGGGCTCCTCTTCCTTAGCGGCTTTGAGCTGGAATTGTCAAGGCTTGGGGAACATCTTGACAATTCGACGTCTGCGAGAAATACATAAGAGTATCAATCCGGACATAATGTTCCTCATGGAGACTAAGAATGATGATGATTTTGTTAAGTTAAAGACAAATAGGATGCAATATCCCAATTATTTCTCAGTTCCTCCTGTAGGTACAGCTGGTGGACTGTCTTTACTATGGAAGGCAGAAGTAGAGGTCACAATTCTGGAGGCTAGTCCAAACCTGATAGACACGAAGATTGTTTTCAAAGGAATCACCTCTTTTATCTCATTTGTATATGGCGCCCCTGCGATGGAAAATAGACCCGCCTTTTGGTCTAAGTTATCAGAGGTTGGAAGGGGACGTGAAGCTCCATGGCTCCTGTCCGGTGACTTTAATGATATATTAGATAATTCTGAGAAGGTGGGAGGACCAGCTCGGTGGGAAGGGTCCTTCGCCTCTTTTCGGTCTTTTGTGTCTCAGAATGGCTTATGGGATGTGAGACACTCAGGGAATCATCTATCGTGGAGAGGGACGAGATACACCCATTATATAAGGTCGAGACTGGACCGTTCTTTGGCAAACTGTTCTTGGAGCGAAGCTTTTCCTATGGGACGCTGTAGCTACCTGAGGTTTGAAGGATCGGATCACCGTCCCCTAGTTACTTTCTTCAACACAAACAGGACAAAGAAGAGGGGTCTGTTTCGTTTCAACAGGTCGTTAACAGAAATCGAGGAGGTAACAGCAGTGGTGGACGATGCTTGGAACCATTACCCCCTGGATTCCGTGATTTCTAAGCTTAACTCATGTCGTCGTAGTATTATCAAGTGGACCAAGGATCAGAACGTCAAGAATAATGAGATAATAGCTCAGTCTCAGGCAGAGCTGGAGAATGCTTTATCGGCAGCAGTACAGGACCAGGTTCTCATTGATTCACTTACTAATAAGCTGCGAGAAGCCTATAAGGAGGAAGAGCAGTTTTGGATGCAGAGGAGTAGAATCCACTGGCTTAAGAGTGGAGACCGTAACACAGGATTTTTCCATGCTGTAACCCGTCAGAGACGCATGATTAATTCCTTCTCTGTGATAGAGAATGACGAGGGTAATGAGGTATACGAGGAAGAGCAGATAGCATCGGTCATTACCAAGTATTTCACAGATATTTTTACAGCAAATGAGAATGGAGATTTCTCAGCAGTAGCCAATATCCTAAGCCGCAAGGTGACTGATGAGATGAATGATTTCCTCACGCTTATACCGAGTGATTCGGAGATTAGAGAAGCGATCCTCTCCATCAATAGCGGCAAGGCCCCGGGGCCAGACGGTTTCTCAGCTAAATTCTATCAGTCGTACTGGCACATCATCAAGGAAGACGTCATCAAGGATATTCGCCAGTTTTTTATCACGGGTTACTTGCACCCACAGCAAAATGAAACCCACATCCGCCTAATTCCTAAAGGAACTAGCCCGCGACAAGTTGCGGACTACAGGCCCATAGCTCTCTGCAACACTCATTACAAGATTATCGCGAAGATTCTTTCACGCCGTCTTAAACCGATACTGCCAGCATTAATCTCCAAATCTCAGTCGGCTTTTGTGGCGGGTAGAGCGATTGGAGATAACGTACTCATCACGCATGAGACTTTGCACTTCCTTCGAACTTCGGATGCCAAGAAGTTTTGCTCTATGGCCGTCAAGACGGATATGAGCAAAGCTTATGATCGAATGGAATGGGGGTTTATCAGAACTGTCCTCACTCAATTGGGATTTGACGAGAAATGGATCCAATGGGTTATGTGTTGTATCGAGACGGTATCGTACTCCTTCCTAATTAATGGAGCGCCACAGGGAATCGTAAAACCATCACGTGGAATACGTCAAGGAGACCCCCTGTCTCCATATGTCTTCATCCTATGCACGGAAGTTCTCTCGGCTTTGTGTGAAAAGGCGCAAGTAGACGGCTCTCTTCCAGGGATCAAAGTGGCGAGGGGCAGCCCTCCGGTCAATCATTTATTGTTCGCCGATGATACTATGATTTTTTGTAAGTCAAGTCCAAGGTGTGTGGCTGCCTTACTGAAAATACTGCAGACATACGAGGCTCTCTCGGGACAAAAGATCAACTTCTCCAAGTCTGCGATTACTTTTTCTGCAAGGACACCTCCTGAAGTTAAAGCACGAGTAAAACTTGCTCTATCTATTGAGGCAGAAGGAGGAGTGGGAAATATTTGGGACTCCCTGAGTTATTTGGCAGGAAAAAGAGAGACATCTTTGCTTCCATCATTGAACGCATCCGGCTTAAGGCTAGAAGCTGGACGACCAGGTTCTTATCGGGAGCCGGAAAGCAGGTCCTGCTCAAGACAGTCCTTGCAGCTATGCCGGGATATGCCATGTCCTGTTTTAAAATCCCAGCCTCGTTGTGTAAGCAAATTCAGTCCCTCTTGACGCGTTTTTGGTGGGATGCTAACCCGGAAAAACGCAAAATGTGTTGGGTGGCGTGGTCTACTCTTACACAACCGAAGCATGCCGGAGGACTCGGGTTTCGTGATATTGAATCTTTCAATGACGCTCTACTGGCTAAGATTGGGTGGAGGCTCATATCTGACCCTAACTCATTATTGGCTCGGGTTTTACTTGGCAAATATGCAAGAGATTCTACGTTTATGGACAGTACGTGCCCATCTTCGGCCTCCCATGGGTGGAGAAGCATCATTGCAGGAAGAGAGATTCTCAGGAAAGGGCTAAGCTGGGCGATAGGAAACGGAGAAAGCATTAGAGTTTGGCAAGATCCTTGGTTGTCTTGTGAATCGCCTGTAACGCCTTTTGGCCCCGCTTCTCTACAAGCTTCTTCCCTGCGGGTTAGTGACCTCCTCTGTCCTCTCACTAATTCTTGGGACCTTCAGAAGATCCGTCTCCACTTACCTCAGCATGAGGGTGACATTCAGAAGCTAATTACTAGCGCTGCTCCCTCGGAAGATAAGATGGTTTGGTTATTTGACAAGTCCGGAAGTTACACAACGCGTTCTGGGTATGGAATCGGTAGGAGGGAAGCTCTGCCATATCAGGAAGGACCCACCTTTGAATGGATGAAGCTTATTTGGAATGTTCCCACTGCACCTAAAATTAAAGATTTTTTGTGGAAGCTGGTTAGGCGAGCGCTGCCGGTAAGTTCAAACTTAGCGGCTCGGGGAATCACATCATTTCCATGTAAAACATGTGGAGGGGTAGAGGATAGTGACCATGTCCTTTGGAGCTGTGAAGTGGCGACTGGAGTGTGGGAACTAGCTCCAGTGATGAATAAACCGAACTCACCCTCTACATCGCTGCAGACTTTTATCTCAGATTGTCATAGACTGGTGAATCTGCCGCCGTCAGGTATCTCAATTCCCTTATGGCCTTGGCTGCTATGGCATCTCTGGAAGGCACGAAATAAGCGTTGTTTTGAGGATCGCGTATACTCCAGTATGGAGATTGTTGCAAAAGCCATAAATGATGCGAGGGAGTGGCAGTCGGCACAGGGGCGCTCTGTTTCAGCTGACCCTGGTTCATTACCACATGGCCCTCGGGGGGCAGTAGAAAGCGTACCACCACGGACTGACCCTCATATGCTCTCATGTAATGTGGATGCTGCTTGGGATGCGGCCTCCAACTGCTGCGGTCTCGGTGGAGTGTTCTCAGGCCCACCATCTATCTCTCTCCCCCCTCAGTTGAGAGAGTCTCGTTCCTTTGTTTCTTCAGCTCTAATGGCGGAAGCCCTTGCTGTGCGTTTGGCAGTCATGACTGCGGCCTTCTCAAACATCAAATGCCTAGCTATTCGGTCGGATTCGCTCTCCCTCATCAAGTTATTGAGAGGAAGAGAGTCTCGACCAGCTTTGTTTGGTATTGTGTTTGATATCTACTATTTTAGTTCTTATTTTGATGTATTGTCTTTCTCTTATGTTCCTCGGTTGTACAATGGTGAAGCAGACAAAGTGGCTAAGTCTGTCCTCACTGAAAAACTCACCTCCTCTGTTGGAGTGTAGGATCCTTAACTTTGAATGAATGAATTTGTGTTTGCCCAAAAAAAAAAAGGACCCCGGTATATTTACACACAATATTTGTAATAATGAATATAATAAAAATTGAAAAAAAAAGGTGAAGATATGTAGTCTGGATTCCAGGGAGATCTCTTAAATCCTGGTGGAGAGCTTATCAAACTGATGTTTTACTACGAGATTTGGGTGAGCTTACAGTATATAGCTCATCCGTTTCTGATATGTTATTTTATATAATTATGTTATACAGTGTTCATCTACTTGTATAAAAGATTTAAAGGATGTTATGTGACTAGGACTGGACACAAATAATTGATACTCGATTTGTACTTGATTCGGTTTGGTTTGAATAAACAATTATTTGTTATAATCAAGTCGAATAGCAAGTAAACAGATTTTATTAGTCGCAAGTATAAGTCAAGTATCAAGTTTATTTTTATTTTTAACTATTTGGCTTGTTATTTGGTTTGTTACTTGTTATCATTTACTTGTTCCATTATTTATTATATATTACTTGGTTTATTAAATATTTAATATCCCTTTTATTAGTTAATTAAAATTTATGTATTATATTTTATTAGTGACCATAATTACTCGTTGTTTACCTCTTATTTGATACTTGATGGATACATGATCTTTAAAAATTAATATTTGTTATGAAAAAGTATCAAGTAATCTATTTAAATTACTTATAAGTTTTGTTTGTTACTTGTGTTCGTTAAAGAACAAAGATATATTTTTCTAAATTATAGTAAAATAACTCATTTCTATTTTCATTTTCATAAGTACATCACACATAAGTGATATATTTAAATAAGAATCTTGAAATTTTCTTTTTCTTATATAGTTCGTTTTCCGAATGACTTAAATACAAGAAAACAATGACATATTATTTAAAAAATAAATTTATTTAACTTTAAATTCTAATGAACTATCAAATAATTTACCAATAATTATGAATGAATTTATAACTAATTTACAAATAACAAGTAATAAAATAAGTCAAGTAACTTACAAG